TTTGGTGCGTCGAGAGCTTTGAGTGTATTGGATGACATTCTTCAAGCTTGGGATAAAAAAATGAGTTCTGTTTTAGTGGTTTTAAACTTTTCGATACAAATAGTCACGAGCTGTTGACTAAATTGCGATGCTACGGTTTCAAAGTAGAATCTTCAAATCTTCACAAATCATACTTAACTTTTAGATTTCAATCAATTGCTTCAAATGATAAATATTCGGAGAAGGTAGAAATTCTATCCTGTCTCCCACAGGGATCGATTCAAACTTTAAATCAGATGTCTCAAGACCACAACTCAAAACTTAATCCAAGTAAATCATGTGTTATGGTGGTTCACAACTCAAAATTAAATTTTAAAAATTGTGCCAAAACACTGGGAGACAGAAAGCTTGTGGTATGAGAAAAATATACAATGATATAAAATGGCTCAAAATGAATCAGCGAAGAATCCTACATTTGTCGACATTTTTCTTTAAAGGAATAAATAATACTAATTCGCCAGGTAGCTACTCTTCAAAAGGATGTTTTTTTATCAACATTTGCAACATCTAAAATGTCGATTAAGTTGTGCTACAAGCAAATTATTGGATAAATAGAATTACCCGGCTGCCAAAGACATCCCTTATCGCATATCGGCCCTAACTAGAGTACGTAATTAATCATTTTAATAAAGCGGCCGAGAAACCAAAACCGCTTTCCCAGTTTGCATCGACGTCCGTTGTTACTATAACTTCGTACCAGGTTCATAAATTGAGAAAGCAATTTCCCTGGGCACAATCGGATTTGGCTCCTACGGGACGCCTTTGGCCGGATCCGGCACTTTACACTCACGGGATTGTCGGGCCTGAATGGCGTAGCCGAAGGTCCTACAGAGCAGCCCTGCAAATGACCAGATTTCAAACGTATTCTTATGCAAAATCTAGGTTTCAATTTTTCATTTTAAAAAAGGGATAGCCGCGATTTAATTTAATAAATTGATCGCTTGATCGAATAATAACACATAGCTAGGTGAACAACATTTCATTTACACAAACAATACTTTAGAGAAACGAAAAAATTATGTAACATTACAAAAACAACGATTTGTCAGAATCTAGTTTTAGTTTGATTTTCAAATTCTTAACATTGAGTCAGGAGACTTCTTTCCACATTCTGGACCATTAAAGGGATCTCTAAGGTTATCATAATTGCAGGCAATATGATTACTTGTTTCGCCATCTAATATAAGAATACCGGACAAAGTTTGGCTCATTCTGTATCAGGGCCCTGAGGGCCCTCTTCTAGCTTTTGAAGACATCTGCTGCGAATGCAGAGCCCCCGAAACAAAACGTAGCGCGATACATATTAGTAAGTTGCTTTGTTGTTAATACTTAAACTTCGTAGAAGAAAAGAATGAGTTGATTTTTTAAGCTAAATTGTCTCAGTGATTTTTCCAATTTAGATTTTGGTCCATTATAATTCCAATTCTAAGGAATCCTTCTTCAACAACTCTTATATTAAGAGAAAGTTCGTTTCTTTGTTGGGGATTGTGGAACCGGAGGCAATTTGTTTTGGTTGTATGTAAGTACCAAGAAATTTGGCAGTTTATCAAGATTTATTTTTACTTAAAGTTGTTTATTTTCCTTTAAAGTGCCGCCATTACCACCATCGTCTGCCAACTTTACAGCCACACAATCGGGATCAAGACATTCAAAAATACTATCGATTTTATCCGGCAATCATGTGCTCTGCGGTTTACTCCGTAGTAAGAAAGATCATCCAAAAGTATATTAACAGAAATCACCACCACGTAAAACGCTCTGTACGGAAACTTGTTATCAGCTAAGATATTGTGTTTTGCAAAAAAGTGTTAATTTAATCTAGGCAGCAGTACTCGAAAAGAGCCTATTGCTATAGGTCTATAGTTCATCACTTCTTCTCCCTTTCTTGTCTTTATTTCTAATATTCTAGAAAAAATCCTTTGCCGAAAAGATCTATTAACCGAAAGCAATGGATTCAGAACGTGTTTTAGTATAAACGTCCGTAAGATACCATAACCAAATGATCTTTGTATATTAATTTTATTCTTTAAAAGATTTAAAAAATCTAATAATTCAAGCTTAAAGCCATCCGTCAAGGCAAGGCGCGAGACTCCACTTCTGGGGACCTAAGCTGCATAAGCTGTGTTCTTGTCGATCATACAGATTCTTTAAACTCTGGCTCGATCGTTAACGCTGGCTGTTGGGTACTGAAACAGGCAGCAGTTTTTAAAGAGAAAGTTTAAAATGGATCAATAAGATTTCATGAATTTTTCTAAAAGCCAAAATCTAACGTTTCGGATGAGTAGACTGGTGTTCGATCATCCAAGACCAGTTCTTAAAATTGGTAATATCAGTTTTATTAAATGACGGTTTTCCCATCGTAAAGGTGGGATTTTGTATATCTATATCATTATCTGGTTACCCAACTGTCAGATTCAAAATTGTATGGGAGAAATTAAAGGTGAGTATCAAAACAAGAAGGCTTTTGTAGTCCATAACTTCCTTATATTAGGTTTTGGTCTAAATAAACTGTCCGATACTAGATTCAGTTATAACAAAAAAATACTAAACCACATATCTCAAATTCCTTTTTTCGTTTATTCGTTACAGTAAGATGCTGGAATAATGAAATCAGGAAGACAGAAAGAATTCATTGACTCTTCTCTTTCCGCTGTCTCGCATAAATTCGGGTAGCATCAGGAACAGGATCCTGAAAATATTCTTTGTAGCGTTTGTTGGTTAGTTCGGAATCCAATAGGGGAATTGTGATGATGTTCAAATCATCTGGTAAAGTCTCTTCATAGATACTAACTGATACGAATACGAACATTGAAAATGGCCGAATAGGTCCGTACTTTGCTTAGAATTTTTATGGTTTTGTTAGGAAAGTTTTGTTGTATGTATTTATGTTTAAATCTAAAATAAAATTATCGCAATTAATCGCTTTTTGGTATAATCTTCGCGAAAATAAATGTCGTTATTATACATGTAGTTTTGGATTGTTGCTTTTGTGTCACATGAGGAAGGGGTTTTAGTCAACTATCTACTGTGATAATTTGCATTGTCCATTACAATTACGCTATTAGTAGGAATGTTTGGAACTAGTTTGTTTTTAAACCAACTTTCAAATAAATCAGCGGCGGTGTCTTCATGGTAATCCAGAGAAGAATCTTTAATATTTTTCGAAGACAGAGAAAGTCCATTTGGAATCCAACCATGTTTAGAGCCAGCATGCAAAATAGTTATTCTTTTACATCTTTTTGATGGCGCGTTTGTTTTACGCTTATCAGTTAAGTCAACCCAACCCTTTTCCGGGGTATCGTAAATGTCGAACAAGGTTTCATCCAAGTAAATAATTGGCCTTTGTTGTTCTCTGTAAATCCTAATTTTTTCTAGATGTTCCAGTCGCCATTTCCGAATTCTAAAAGATTCCATTAAAACTTGCCTTTTGACAATTTTTTTTAATCTAAAACCTATGTGTTGTATGTATATCTTAATCTTTTTCAAGCCTCCTAATTATATAGCTGGTAAATTTTACGCCGTATTATATCTTGATCACATTCATCTACACTCGAGAAAATGTCAGCATCGCTTCTTTTTTTCCTCGCTGAAATGGGATTATTCACAATTTTCCATACAGTTGGCACCACGTTCAATGAGAGTCAAATAAACATTGTTTATATCTTCCTTAGTGTCAATAGAACAGTGTTTTCTACATTTGGGCGGGAGCATGTCCCGAGATACACTAGACTCGCACATACTTTGCATAATTTGCACACGATTTAACACGAAATAAGAATGACTACTAATAAACTTAAATTAGGTAGTATACCAAACCCAAGAATATTAAACACAGGTAGGTATAAAATTATTTTCTATTACGAACCACAATTTTACCTGAATTTAAATTCCGAAACTTTAGGTAATAATCTTGTTGCATTGTATGTTAATGACCACCCTTGGATAATCCCATTCAAAAGCAATTGGTCACTTTCCCAACCAAAACTATAAGTCAGTTAAGGTCCCAAAAATACTGATTTATGACATTTTACACTTGTTTAACCCACGCGGACATCATCAGACATACAGACCTCAGATGAAACACATACAGATCTTGGAGGCCAATTCACAGGTTCAAAACGTGAAATTATGCGGTCACCAAACTTGTCTTTCAAAAAATCGATTGTGGCACGAGCTGTGTGACATGTTGCGCCGTCTTGTTGAAACCACATCTCCTGGGCATCATAGTTATTCAATTCAGGAATGAAAGAGTTAGTATTCATAGCTCTATACCGATCACCATTGACTGTAACGTTCTGGCCATCATAGTTTTTGAAGAATTACGGACCAATGATTCCACCAGCCCATAAAGCGCACCACACTGTCAGTTTTTCTGGATGTAACGGTGTTTCGACATACACTTGAGGATTAGCTTCGCTCCATATGCGGCAATTTTGTTTGTTGACGTAGCCATTTAATCAGAAGTGCGCTTCATCGCTAAACAAAATTCGCTTATGAAAATCGGGAACAACGGCAATCTCGTTTTGGGCCCATTCTACGAATCTACGCTTTACTTGATGAATTCATGATGAATTGCCAAACCAAACTGAAAATAAATCACTTGACAGCTGTTAAATCGGTCGCCATCTTGAACAGTAATGCCAACTTAAAGTTCTATACATCGAAAATAATAACCCTATATTTATCTATAACTGTTATGCATATTTTTGACAAACTACCTAAATTAACACAAAAGCGAGTACTCCATACCTGTATTGATAAAGATTCAAGTTTCAATGCTAAACTATGTTAGTGGTTGGTCGCGCTGTTGTCTTTTTGCATGAACAACGAGGTTTAATAATTCCCCGCATTTGCAAATAGAATATAGTTCAAAGCAAAGCTCATTGTTTGACAACAATACACAGCCAGTATGTATTCGGAAACTAAACGTATCCGATACGTTTAATGTTTTCTGTTTTCAGAGTTGGATCTGGATTTTCTGGAGCGGCGACAAAACCAGCAACAGAATGCTTCGACGGACTCACACGACGATAGCCGAACGCCCATCGAAATCAGCCCCGAGTCGATGGACCGTATCAAGGTCATTCTGTTGGGGGCGCCTGCTGTGGGAAAGACCAGCATAATACAGGTGATCTACAGCTATGGACTTTGACCAGAAATATAGTGCTTTTACAAGCGACCCGGCGATTTACTTTACCTACTGTTTATTACTCCAAAACTGCAGCCCTAGCAGACTCTCACCCGTGACCATTCCATCTTTTTCGCCGCGCAATTCTTAAAACATTAAATATAATAATAATAAAGTATCAATCACTTAAAAAATCATCACTATCACTGATGTTGTCACCCAGTTCAATAACTACCTCTTGACGAATTACGTTTATGGTTCTATCACTAAATTTTGGTCCAGTGTTATTTCTTCTTATATGCTCTTTCAACTACGGGGGTAATGTCAAGATTTCATGTCCGTTTTGTTGTCCTCTGGAATCTATTTCGTAGTCTTTATTGAAATGTTTTGTTTTTAAAAATTTCAAAAGTTGTTTTTTCGTGTAACTGTCTTCAAAATAGAAATCATTCTTTAATTTCTTCCTTATTTGAAGTAGTATTTCTAATTTTTCTAATTTGGGCTGAATGATACTAGGCATTATCCAACACGATAATAGTATTTGGCGATAGTTTTTTCAGCAGCTTATTTTTTCAAACATGTCCTCAAATAATTCCGCGGTCTTGTTTTCATGGTAATCCACACATGCATCTTTGACGTTTTTAGCAAACAAAAATAAGGCATCCTTCCATTCAACAATTTTTGGACCCAGAATGAAGAATTACTATGCGTTTTCCATTGTGAAGGCGGCACACCTAGTACACATCACACCATCCTTTTTTACTGTTTCGTGAGTGTCAAATTTTTCAATTGCATTTAAATAATCCACCATCCATTGCGAAATTTTTGAGATTCCGTTACCAATTGACGTTTATTAATTGTTTGGGATTGAAAATCCATTTTCTCCAAAAAAGAACGCAACGATTCTTTGGCACTTTTTTATGCAGTTCTTCTAGGGTTAAAACACTATTCACACATAAAAGCGTAGATTATACGCCTAATAAGATCTGCATGTTGCTCTTTAAAAACTCTCTCCTCTCACTTTCCTCTTGACTATCACATTTGTACAATTTTTCATACAGTTGACTTCGGAACTTTTCCCCTTCTGAATTTCTTATAAAATTGTAAACATTCCAAACAATTTTTTTAGCATTCGAAGACAAATGGATCCGTTTTTTTATTTGCCGAGGGAGTTCGTCTTCTAAATTGTCATTAGGTTCGACTACCATCTCCACTTCGTCTTCAAACTCCGCGTAACAGAAGAACATCTGCTTCATTCAACGGTTTCCTCATTTTAACCTTCAAAAAAGGTTTAATTGAAAGATTCTAATAAATTTACAGGTTTTACAGCTTACAGCTTCGCGTGGTCAAAGCTCGAGAATCAGGTACATAAATAAGTACTTACTGGAAGGATCACAGTCAAATACCTCAGTAATATAAACGAACATATCGCAAGTTAGATTAAACTTTTAAGAACGATACATATCACCTGATGTTAAAATAAACGCTTCTACTTTACTAGTCCATTTACGTTTCAAATAAAAATTTCTGGTTTCTACAAAAATTCGTTAGGTCAGGCAGAATGCACAATAAACATCTGTTGGAATGGGGTTTACGACTGCCCTGCGAAAGTCTGCGGTTAAGGTACTGTAAAATACTTAAAACGTCAAAGCAATAATAGCACTATATTTTTGGTCGTATTATACTTCAATATCTATAGACAAGGAACTTGTTTGGGCGGAAAAGGCATTTGATTCAAATTGAAGTGTTCAATCAGTCTAAATGAGAAAATTAATCCATAAAACTCTATAAATTGAACAATATTTTAGGTAGGCAACAAATAAACTAGATGAATACTCGTAAAAATGTTAGTATATATTGTTATTCAATAGTGTCGACAGTACTAATCATAGTAGTAAAATGATGAGTACATCAAGATATTCTTTCCAATGAAAAAAGTGATAATAATTCTTCCGTATCGGCGAACAAAAAAGTTTGTTTTAATTGTATATGAATGATAGCAGAGGTTATATTAGTAGTTTTACCATACTGGAATTTTAGCGACGAATATGTTTAAATTATTGGTCAAAAAAGTTTAGGAAAACCAAGGTGACTAAACAAAGTACGCGGTTTGAATAAAAGTTCGCTCTTTCTATTTCAAAAACGGAAACACTAACATTAGACAGAATGTTAAAATTAAACAGAACCTAATAAGGCGCCCACCCTGTAGCTATTTTAATAAGAGCAGGTTTACCATATGGGAAGTCTGTTAAAATTCTGCTTACAGAGATATATTGTTATTAGGTACTTACGTCGTAGGTAGGTAGGTCGCGGTTATATTCTGGTTTTTCAGGTCGATTGCTAAAAAGCTCAAGTTTTGAAAACAAACTTTAACACTTCGAGAGGCAAAGCAAACTGTAGATGTAATTTATTATTTTTCGTAGTAAAGTTTAAAATGCAACAGATTTTGTTAAATGATTTTTTACGATTATTATTATAATTTGGTCTGTATTCTTCAGGAATAATCCGAATACTTGAATATACCAAAGAACATCCGCATATGCCAAGCTAAGAAAAAACTTTTGGATCTTCCTCTGAGCACTTATTGATTGCTTAAAAGGATGATCCAAAAGCTTGCACGTGACCGTCATGACGGTTGTTTGTTTCTAGCACTTCGGATGCACTACCGATTTCGGAAAAACGAAAATATTAAAATACCGAACCTGAACTGCAAATGTTACCCCGGCAACACAGGTACGGGATAATCCGAAAATCAAATCTCGCACGTCGATTTATTTATGCACGAGCGGGTGTCCAACCGAACAATGTGTGCACTTCGCTGATTCTGAGTTTGTCAAAATGGATCTCGCGTCACTAAATGTTTGAGTAAATTGTTCTGTGACGGTTCGTGGGACCGTACGCACCACCACTGATAAATATGTATCGCTCTGATAATTTGCAAACGCTTTGTTAAAACAATTTTCTTCATTCGCCACCCCAAGTTGGTTCCTATCGGTTAGGTAAACCGTATGAAACTTCGCCGTCGTCTTGATCCGTTAAGAGGTTTATCACAGACGACTTCAAATTGTGAGAACATTTTTTTTTTAAGTTTTATCGGGTTTCGAGTGTTATAAGTATTATTAGAGTGTTCTGATTCGATTTAAAAAACGATTTAGTGGGCCTAAAAAATAAGGTTCAGGCACTTTCCCATACGCGAACAATGTTTTGTAGGAGACTAGTAATTAGAAGCAATCATTATAAAATAAAACAAATTAAATGACATTAAAAAAAAATGGGTCATTTCAGTCTCAGTTCCTAGACTTGTCTCCCATTTAACCAGAAATAACGCCGATATTTTTAGTGTAAGATTTGTATTTACTTTATACTTTCGTCATTCACACACCATACAAAGAGGCATTCCAAACTGATCATTTATTTTAAAGACAGTAGAAGGCTGAGGCCCAAATTCAATGCAACGATGTCCCCAAAAAGGAAACCTCACTGCATCAAATGACCAATTAAAAACAAAAACATTTCTTAACCTTTCTATATTTTTATTTATTTATGTTGTTATTGAGATTGAGATTAACAAGCCGAGCAGAAGAAAGGACATTAAACATTAACCACAATTAAACGCTACTAAGTAATGTAGGTACGTTACTTTTGCCCTTTGATAGGTGAAAATTTGCTTATTTTTGTTCTGAGGCTTTTAACCTTTTACCCCCTCCCTTACCGGGACTCTTTAACTGTAATTAATTATTGATTATTTTAAAAATTGAACTATTTTATCAACTAAAAAAAAATGATTCAACTATTTTACCAAAAATAGTAATGGTTAAACTAGGTATATTCGATTACGCAATTGCTAATCATAAATCAAATGAAGTGACTTTTGTAATATACGTTTACAGTTTCAGCCAGTTTGTGCGTTTCCTTTTTTTTATGGGACAGAAACGCTACATGTGTTTTGTGTGCTCGGCGATTTTCTGCTGGAACAAATGGAACAAATTTGCATAAAATTTTGTGTGTCTGTCTGCTGTCAAACAAAATGGAACATAGAATTTGCATAAAATTATGTTTAAAAAATGGACTGGAGTGCTGCAAAACACTTTTAATGTTGACATCGGCGTATGCTGAATCTACTAAGAGCAAAAAAAATTATAAGTGGTACAAGCTGTTCCAAGATGGCCGAAAAGACGTCGATGACGAACCTCGCTCTGGACGCGCAGCACTTCAATCACTGATGAAAGCGTTGAAGGAGTGAAACAAATGGTGTCGAAAAATCGTGGAATCACTATTAGAGAAATGGTCGAAGACGTCATCTCTATTGGCTGGGGCCATGCGATATTTTCCGAAGTTTTGGGCATGAAACGTGTACCAGCAAAATTTGTTCGGAAACTGCTTAATTTTGAACAATAGGCCCGTCGAAGGAGCATTGCCGAAGAGCTTTTAACTGACGTCAATGATGATCCTGATAGGCTCAGAAAGGTCATAACTAGTGACGAGCCATGACGTCGAAACCAAAGCCCAGCCATCACAATGGAGGAATCCTGAATCGCCAAGACCGAAAAAAGCACTTCAAGTTCTATCAAATGTCAAGGTTTTGCTTATATTTTCTTTGATTATCGTGGCGTAGTACATTAAGAGTTCTCACCACAAGGTCGTACGGTCAATAAGAAGTTATGCGCCGTTTAGGAGAAGCAATATGAAAAAAACGTCAGGAATTGTGCGAAAATGCACTTGCTCGCTCATCCTTGCCTGTGTCAAACTTTTTGGCCAAAAACAAAACCACAATCATGCGTCAGCCAGCATATTTACCGGATATGGCTTTATGCGACTTTTTCCTGTTCTCAAAACTTGAGATCTAGATTATAATATGGGTTAATGGTGTGGCGTCTAAAACTCGTATATCAATATCATATTGATAGCTTGGAGTTTATACAGAGACGGTTCCTTAAAGGCTCAAGGCTCAGTTTTTAAGGAAGGATGATTTGAACATCAGGTACCATTAGGCAGGTTCGGGG